CAAAAAATCAGGTTCGACAAAAAATTCATTTAATTAATACAAAATCAAATTAACTCGTTTTATGAGTAACAACAAAAAAAATGGTTTTCCTAAATTAACTTTAATAACAATGCTTATTTACGAGAGATAAATTTTTAAAATAAAATAGATAACTGCGGTTATCGACTGAAATATCGATATTAGAGAGAACCCGTTTATTATTTGAGAGAGAGAGTAGGATAAAACTAGTTAGAACCGTTCTTTGAAAATAACAAATGGCCGATGTCTTAAGTTGTCATCAAACTCGTTAAAAAAAAATAGAATTAAATAAATGAACGTTATTCAAGAAAAACTAATAAATCTTTACACACAAGTAAGTATTGATCAAAATTATAGGAAACTCTTGTGAGTTGTTCTTTGAGTTTGATTCTTTGAATTTTCTTTTTGTAGGTTATGTTAAATAATAGAATAAAATTATCATCCGACTCACTGTATAAAAGAAAGGATTGTAGTTCAATGTGGTATCTGGATTATGGAATTGTCTCTTGTGTTCGGGGCACTAACTAATTTTCTGGATTATCTACAGGATTCTTCTTACGGGTAATTGCACTGTTTGTTCTTCGGACATAGGGTCTTGGATGATCTCGAAGAAGTATCGGTAATTCTCGGAATAGGTTGTAGGATCTTTTATTTTAATATTGTAAGTTGGTTTGACTTTTTTTTTTTTTTTTAATTATCTTAAATTTTCGAGGTTATCTCTTCAAAAATTCTTCTATCTGACGACGTGGATTCGACGCTGGTCCGACGACGACTCTCTCACTCCCTCTTCGCGATCTCCTTATATACCCCGGCACTCCAACTGTTTTTTCCTCGTTTCTGATTGGCTCTTAGCTTCGCGCCCTTTTCAAAATTCAAAATTCTTGCTTCGAAACTAGCGTCATCTCTTGATTTTTCTCGGAATTAACCTTCAAAATTTAATTCTTTTTTCGTTGATTTCTCCCTTATTCCTTTATGAAACATAATAAAACTTCGTATTCAACGTTGTCTTTTCTTGTTTATAGACATACATTGGAGTACATGCCAAATTTCAACAATGAGTAAAGTTAGAAAAATTCAAATTTAAATCAAGGATTTCTTTCTCAAAATAACGTTAAAACCTCAAAAGATGGATGAAAAATGTGCTTTAAGAGCTGAACTATAATAATTGATACATTTGGAAATAAACAAAACGGTTTAAGATAAGATTTTCACCAACAAAAAATCTCTCTGTCACTAATTTTAGGTTATGTTCTCTCGGTGAACTAAGAGAATGTTAAAATTATTACAATATCCACTATGGTTATTTAGAGGATAAATTTATCAAGAGGTGGTAAAAGTGGGCCTAAATTGTTTAAATAGTTGATTGTAAAGATTTGTGTACAGAAGGAATAAATTTAAATGCAACTTTACGAGTTTTCTTAACAATAAAAATTATGTTTGACATAGATAAATTATATATATATATCACAAGGAAAAAGATTGCGAAGGCAAAATGATGCTAGAGCAAGTAAATTTTAGCAATTAAGTCGAAAATGCCGAAATGGACGTCTATGACAGAAGAAAAAACTTGTAGAATGGCAGAATATAGAAAGCTAAGCAAAAAGATGTCTAAGCCAGAATGATGCTGTTGACACAAAAATTTTCTTTTGAAAAAATATAGATACGAAATATAAAGTAGAGTTAAGCACCAAGTTATATGATGCAAGATGATGGAGTACTTACTTGATATTACTTGCAGATTACACCAAAAAACTAGATACTACTTAAAGATTAGATACTGCATGCAGACAACTGGATGTTGCTAATGAAAAAATTCACACTGCTAATAGAAGATTAACTATTACTTGCAGAAAGCTGGAAATAAAGATACTTGTTGGAGATACCAAGTACTAGATGAAAAAAACTAGATATTGCATAAAAAAGTCTAGATACTGTTAAACACTGTTATTACAACATACATATTGTTGATGAAGGACTAAGATACTACTAATAAATGATTGATTTGATGAGGTCTAATAGATGTCTATGGCAGAATAATGTTGGAAGCCTTTTTATTTCTTATATTACGTCTTTTCCAAGTAAGTTGTGGTCTTTTTTTGCAGTATCTAGCATTTTATAACCAACAGATAATTTTTTTAAATAGTATTAGTATTATTTAGTCTTTTACTAGCAGTATTTAATCTTCTGATAGCAATAATTAGTCTTTTGCCAATAATATCTAGCTTTCTCCAAGCTATTAGTCTTTCCAAGTATACAGGGTGTTCAGAAATTGGCGGATAATCTACACGTAGCGACATTCTAAAAGTAGTTAATAGTCTTTTGGAAACAGTATCTTGCTTTTCCAAGCAGATAATAGTTTCTCCCAGCAGTATTTAGCAGATTGTAATCTTTTCCACCAGTATCTAGCATTTTGAAAGCAGTAGGTACTCTTTTTGGAGATCATATCTCTTCTTTCCAAGCAGTTATTAGTCTATTCCAGCAGTATCTAACATTCTGGAAGCAGTAGGTAGCCTTTTAGAAAGCATATCTCTTTTCCAAACAATTATTAAAGTCTTTGAAAACAATAAGTAGTCTTGGAAGCAGTATTCTGCCTGTACAAATAGGTCAAAACCTTTAATAGCAGTGTTTAGCGTTCTGGAAGTAATAGGTATTATTTTGGAAACAGTATCTAGTCTTTTCCAAGTAAGTTGTGATCTTTTTCTGTAGTATCTAGGATTTTGAAATAGTATTTCCTGTTTCCAAGCAGTTTTTAGTCTTTTACTAGCAGTATTTAATCTTCCTATAGCAATAATTAGTCTTTTGCCAATAATATCTAGCTTTCTCCAAGCAATTAGTCTTTCCAAGTATACAGGGTGTTCACAAATTGGCGGATAATCTACACGTAGCGACATTCTACGACCGACTCTGAATCGAAAATCTTAATATTAAAATGTTGTTCTACACTGTTGCCAAATGTGTTTTTCATGAAGATTCATGAAAATAACTTTAACAAAAAAACTAGTTTTCAAAATTTACATGTTCGTCTCATTTTACATCTTTTATACTCCATATGTCCGTCCTATGCCTAACATTAATAGTTTGAGAAATAATTAGGGTTTTTTGAAAAATGCTCACATATATAATGGATAAATTATGGATTTCTTCATTTGTATAGACATTATTTACGTTATTAATATCCATTTTAACTGGTTTTAAACTCACAAGCATCAAACAACATAAATCAGACTTTGACGTTTGTCAATAAGTCATTAAACATTTGTTTTCCATGGCACACTAAGCTAAATATCTATGTGTTCATTTTTCAAAAAACCCTAATTATCTCCCAAACTATTAATGTTAGGTATGATGGATATAAAAGATGTAGAATGAGACACCGAAGACGACTAAGTAATAAAATATAGGAAAGTGACCAAACGTTCTCGACACCAAAACATAGTCCATCATGTTGCTTAAGCATGTTCTGAATCCTAAATTGATATCCCAAAAATCGAGTGTTCTCTGATCTTTTGAATAAATGTCTGCTGGAGCAGATTTTTCTAGAAAAATTCGAATAACTCGAGAACGGCCGAATCAAATTGCAAAAAGTAATGTTATTTATAAACCTTGAAAGCAGACAAATCCAAATATGTAAAAATATACAGGGTGTTCCATTTAAAAAAATAAAGTAGGTGGCGACTTCCGGTATAACCAGAAGTGCAAGAAATTTGAAAATATTTTAGTCGATGAGATCGTAATTGATAATACTTAAGTCTGAATGCTCAAATTTTTATTTTCGCCAGAACCCAAAAAACGTCTAATGACCGGTCTCGCTGAGACACCCTGTATATCAAGCGCACGTTTTAATCTGGCGTGGAGGGAGTTAAGCACCATGTTATATGATGCAAGATGATGGAGTACTTTAATATTCAAGACAACGTGTACTTTTTTTTACCGCCACGTATTGCTTACAAAAGACCAAATACTTTTTGTTGACTAAATGCTGCTGCTGAAAACCAAATATTGATTGTGGAAGACTAGATATTGCTTGCAGAAGTCCAAATATTGGTTGCAGAATACTAGATACTACTACCAGAAAACTAAATATTGCTATCAGAAAACTAAATACTACTTAAAGGTTAGATACTGCATGCAGACAACTAGATGTTGCTAATGAAAAAATTCACACTGCTAACAGAAGATTAACTAGTACTAGCAGAAAGCTGGATATAAAGATACTTGTTGGAGATGCCAAGTACTAGATATCACATAAAAAAGTCTAGATATTGTTAGACACTATTATTATACAGGGTGTCTCACATAACTGGTTCGAACATTTTTAGGTTCCACTATTCGTAGAGGTTTGAAATTTTGGTGGCATCTTTTGTTCATTCTGAACTTTCGATCTAAAATATTTTCAAGATGGTCACCTCTTCCGGTCTACCGGAAGTAAACCACAACTTCGTTATTTTAAATGGAATGCTAAAGTTTTTATTACACCTTTCACTTATACATAAAAAAATATGTTGAATTTGATAAAAGTTGTTGGTACCTAACGTTTTTTGTTTTCGAGTTATTTTGATTTGAAGGTATTTTTGGCAAATTTCACCATGCTCTTTAAAAGCCCATATCTCAGCTAACGTTCATTAAAAAAAACCTCTAAAATGGCCTATTTATTGTAGTTTCCCTCATATTGCGCAAATACACCATACATGCGATACGTCATTGGAAAGCTAAAAATATGCTCTTTTCATTAACATAATAATCAAGTATAGTTCTATAACGGCAGTATATTCTATTTAAAAAAGTACCTTAAGAACGTATCAACCCCATTTCTTTAACTTCAAAAATAAACGAAATATTTTGAAATCACGAAAATTTGACTTTTTGGCTATAACTTAAAACCAAAAGAAGATAGAGGTTTGGTGTTTGCGGGATTGGATTAGTCTGGAAAAAAGAGACCGGGACATGGCACCTACTTTTTTCGTATCTCTTATAGAGTCTGAGATAGCCTATAATAACACCCAAATTTGCCCACCCAAGTAGGTCAAAACCTTTAACACTACTGTTTAACGTTCTGGAAGCAATAGATATTATTTTGAAAATAGTATCTAGTCTTTTACTAGCAGTATTTAATTTTCTGATAGTAATAATTAGTCTTTTGCCGACAATATCTAGCTATCTCCAAGCAATTAGTAGTCTTTCCAATTATATTTAGCATTTTAAAAGTAGTTAATAGTCTTTTGGAAACAGTATCTTGCTTTTCCAAGCAGATAATAGTTTCTCCCAGCAGTATTTAGCAGATTGTAATCTTTTCCACCAGTATCTAGCATTTTGAAAGCAGTAGGTACTCTTTTTGGAGATCATATCTCTTCTTTCCAAGCAGGTATTAGTCTTTTCCAGCAGTATCTAACATTCTGGAAGCAGTAGGTAGCCTTTTAGAAAGCATATCTCTTTTCCAAACAATTATTAAAGTATTTGAAAGCAATAAGTAGTCTTGGAAGCAGTATTCTGTATTCTGTTTAGCGTTCTGGAAGTAATAGGTATTATTTTGAAAACAGTATCTAGTCTTTTCCAAGTAAGTTGTGGTCTGTTTCTGCAGTATCTAGCATTTTAGAAGCAATTTTTAATCCTTTTCTAGCAGTATTTAATCTTCTGATAGCAATTACTTAGTCTTTCCAACAATATTTAGCATTCTGAAAGTAGTTAATAGTCTTTTGGAATAATGTAGCAGTATTTGGTCTTCTCCAAGTAGGTCCTAATCTTTTCTAGTAGTATATAGCACTCTGAAAGCAGTAAGTAGCCTTATGGAAGCAGTACATATCGCATAAAAAAGTCTACATATTGTTGATGGAGGACTTACATACTACTAATAGATGATTAAACACCTCCTGTAAAAGACTAGGCACTTTTTGCTAAAGATTAAGCACTGGTTGCAGAATAGTTAACATTGGTACTAAAATCTGATATTGCTGGCAAAAGACTACATATTGCTGAGAAAAGCCACAAAATTGTGGATAAAAATTCCTGGACGAAAAATGCAAAATGGAAGAGGTCACAAGAAAAAAGATAATGTTGGAAACAAGAAAATTTTAGCTACTAAAATGGAAGAATACAAGAATAAAATAAGCTGGGTGAGCAGAACAACCTTTTAAAGAAAAAGAGAGAGGGTATAAAAAAAATCATTCAAAGATATATAGGAAAGTATGCTGGCAGAAGGATGCTGAAGAACGGATAGGGACTGGAGAGAAAGAAGAGGAAAAAATAACTGCACCAGATTGAGAAAAGAACATAATCGTGCCAATGCGATTAAGAGCCCAGATAGAGGATAAACTTGATGAGCAAACGTCGTTCCAGCATAACAAGATCAAAATATAGATGTGTACCGAGATAACATATATAGAATGTATCAAGCAGACTGATCAAAAGTATTTACAGAAAAGTAACAGGAATGTTTAACTCTGATTTGGAGTTGTTAAAGAAATACAAATAGTAGATTAGTAAAGATGGCAAGATAGATTAAGAGATGCGCAATGGGTATCACCAGATTAATAATACTCTGGTAGATAAGAAAGATGAAAATTAAAGCGAAATTAAATCTATACATGTTAGACAGACGCAAATTAACAAAGTGATGAAGTATCTGCAAAAATTTGTAGGAAAACCCAGAAGAAATAGCAACTTAAGAGCTTTAGCAGAAGAGATCTGGTTGGAATAGTACAAAACATCTACAAAAGATGGAGACCCAACACCGTGAGGTAAGATAAAGATGAAGAAGTATTGCTGATTCACATTAATTCATAGTGTTTATAAGTGTAAGGTATTCAGAGCAACTTGGATATAGCAATAATAAGTTACATTAATTATAATTTCTCTTTTTATCTATTATTATTTCTCCATACAATAAATAACTACATTTTTATTCTAATTTCCCTAAAAAAACCTTTCCTATTTTACAGAAGTTTTAGAAAAATATGGTTTAGGATCTTCGAAACGCAAAAAAGAAGACGAAGATGAGTAAATAACACTTCGAAGTAAAGTTAACTATCAAAACATTATCAAATATCATAGATAATAAAACTAAAACATAAAACAATACTATCTTTTTATTACTATGATTGTTTATCACGACTCAACAAAATAATTTATCTCCCTTTGTAAAGCAAAACGGATGATGATCATGATGATGAAGCAAAACAATTTATAAATGACATTGAAACGACCTTGAGTGTATTTGATTTAATTCGGCACGCGGCGTATAGATGGCAGAGCAATTTTGTGTAATTTAATTATTAATAAAAATAAATATATTAATTTAATACATCATTTTTATTATTATTACACTTGTTTCTTGATGATACAATCAAAAATTTACCTTATTTTTAAAGAAAAGACTCAAATAAATCCTGCCATCTGGTTGTCACAACCTCAAATTCAACAAAAATAATTTTTTATTTACAAATTTCTGTGAAGTACCTATTTATCAAGTAAGTAAATACTACAATAAATACATTCCTCGACTCAGATAAAGTGCATATATTGTAGTATGGGTTCCTCCCACAGTACAAAGAACGATTTTAATCAATCAACAATTCAACACCTTCAAGAAACGCTACACCTAAACAACGTTTTAATCGCAAATTTAAGTCAAGAAACCCGATCTTTAAAAGCGAAAATGGCTCAAAGCGCAGAAAAGGATTCTAATTTTTCTACAGTTCTCGAAACGATGCACGAAGAATTATTAAAGTTTAAAGAAAACATGACCGAGGTAACAGAAAACATCAATAAAAGCCAATCAGAAAAGGAAATAGAGAAATTAAAACGCGATAATACAGCGTTATACTCCAAATTGAAAGGTATTGACCTTAATTATTCCGCGGATAGTAACAAAATATCCGCGTTAATGATGTTAGAGGCTGAGATGAATGTTGAAAAGAATAAACTTGGGGCGAAATTGGAGGATTTAAAGGGAACTATGGAGAAGGCGACGATTAAATTTGTTGAGGAGATGGAAAAGGCACAAAAAGATATTGAAATGGTTTTGGGGAGGTGTAAAAAACGATTGGAATTAATTAAAGAGATGGGGATTAATCTTGAAAATTCGAAAGAAATGGAGAAAATCAAAAATATCCTTTTACAACAAAATAATGGTTTTATAAAGGATTTAATGGAAAAAAGTTGTAAGTAATAATAACACTAGTTTACTACAAATTTGAAGACTGATTTTTTTATAACACAAAATTTTAAGCTGACTGAAAGTTTTTCTCCATCACGTACAGTTTTTCAGATATCGCCAAAAATGTGGTTCATTTAGAAAATTTTTTATTTTACATAGTGTGTTTCTGTAGCTATGTTTGTATTAGTAATTTTTTAGGTTTTCTGTTGGTATTATCTAGAACCCATATAATATTTATGTTGTTTTCCTGATATTTAGTAACATTTTCAGTAACTAAATAGTTGAGGTTAAAATACTAATAAATTTTTAGATAAATACGATTTTAACGAAGTACATACTTATTGTAAAAACTTTTTCTAGGTAAATAAATGCCAAATGGGCCATAAAGACTAGATCCATAAAAAGATTGATCCCATTTATTACCATTTATTATTTATAAGCTCTAAATCGATTAAACATCGAAATTGTTGAAAATTAACTCAATCATAACTCAAAAACTAAAAGCGATGGAGAAATACTTTTTATACATAAAACCTTAATAAAAGGCCATGAAGACTAGATCCACAAAAAAATGGAACATAATTATTACCATTTTTTATTTATAAGCTCTAAATCGATTAAACATCGAAATTGTTGAAAATTAACTCAATCATAACTCAAAAACTAAATGCGATGGGGAAATACTTTTTATACATAAAAAATGAGCTATATATGGACATGAAAGTAGAGATTTTGAGGTATTGATGCCAACTCAACAAAATCAAATTTTTTGGCATTTTTCCCATCTTTTCTTTTTCATTTAATCGCACCATAACCTACTCATTATATGTGAGTAGACTACTATTGAAATTGATTCCATAAATTTATATTTTTAATTAAAGTTTAAACGTCAATTGTGACACAAATTCAATGTTACCAACTGTAACCAACTTCACAACTAATTGTCAAAATCAAATGTCAATTTTATGAAACGTCATGTTTTGTTTACGATTAGTTAAGGTTAGGTTAACATAACCTATTAATCGGAAAATTTTACGATGTAGTGAAATGAACATTGTAATTCTCCAAAAAAAAAAAACGTGAGTATTTTATAGAATATTATTAATTTAGGGTGAAATGTTAATCGTTATCACTTACCTGGTTTTATTTAGGGTGAAACAAACAATTTGGGACGGTAACTTGGTTGTGTCTGGTTTTCTTCCAAAAATTTTAAGGTTATGTTTGTACTTTTCAATTATTAAGGTTATAAAACCAATTTTTTAACAAAACGACGTGTACGCCAAGACGCTGTTAGATTAACTGCCCCTCCTCCGAAAATTTCACCCCTTATATACGATTTTCTTGAAACAAATGAAAAACGGTTCTCTCTGATTGGTTGAATTTTTCCGTGGGTCATCCATCTTTTAATATTCCTATTGTTTTGAGGTTATAAAATAAATGTTATTAAATTCTACCTTATTTCTTCGAATTTCCCCAAATAAAGATATATTATTCTTTTCTTTCAGAACTGATGAAAGGATTTGACGAAAATTTCACCCTACGTTATGAATTTTGATGTAAAAACTTAAAAAAATATATTCATCAACAAATACGTCTTATCAAGCTCCAAATTATTGTTAAACTAACTAATGAGTACCTTAATTATAATATTTAAGTGGTTTGAAATCTTTTAATAACAAATTTAAAAAAATAAATTATAATTGTCAAATTTAAAAGTGAGGTTAGAAAAAACATGACGTTTCATAAAATTGACATTTAATTTTGACAAATTATTGTGAAGTTGGTTGCAATTGGTAACATTGAATTAATGTCACATTGACGTTTAAGCTTTAAACAAAAATTTATTATCAATAAATTTCAGAATCAGCTTAAGATTTTTCTTCTAAACTAGTGTAATTAGTAGGGCACGGAACTTTTGTAACAAAACGATACGATTTCCCCTCTCCCATCGTTCTCAGCAGAAAATTTCATACAAAACTTGTTCTAAATTAAATTCTAAAACGAGTCTCTCAATAAAAAATATATAGTATATAAAATTTTTTTTGAGGTTATGTTCTTAATTATTGATCAAATCAAAAATTTTTATTAACAATATTTTTTTAGAATTACTTCAGGAACAGTGTTTGTTAATACAATTTTTTGCTAACTTGAAATTTTAATTTCCCTCTGAATAGTATGGTATCGAAATTAATTATCTCGATAATTATTGTTTTTATCAAAAAATGTTTTAAATAAAGTTTGTTTCAATTTCGATTTTGAATCGATTATCTTAATAAAAAAATTTTACATCTCTATTAATTAAGCATCTAAGTGTAATTATGTATAAAAATGGAAAAATTATTATTTTGAGGTTATCTCCTTAATTAGTGATTAAATCAAAAAAAAAAATTGACAAAGTTTGTTTAGAATTGTTTCAGGAACAATTTTTGTTAACACAATTTTTTTCTAACTTAAAATTTTAATTTCCCACTGAACAGTATGCTACAAAAATTAATATTTTTGAGGTTATATCCTTATTGTTGATTTAATCAAAAAATGTTGTTAACAAAATTTGTTTAGAATTACTTCAGGAACAGTGTTTGTTAATACAATTTTTTGCTAACTTGAAATTTTAATTTCCCTCTGAATAGTATGGTATCGAAATTAATTATCTCGATAATTATTGTTTTTATCAAAAAATTTTTTAAATAAAATTTGTTTCAATTTCGATTTTGAAGCGATTATCTTAATAAAAAAATTTTACATCTCTATTAATTAAGCATCTAAGTGTAATTATGTATAAAAATGGAAAAATTATTATTTTGAGGTTATTTCCTTAATTATTGATTAAATCAAAAAAAAAAATTGACAAAGTTTGTTTAGAATTGTTTCAGGAACAATTTTTGTTAACACAATTTTTTTCTAACTTGAAATTTTAATTTCCCACTGAACAGTATGCTACAAAAATTAATATTTTTGAGGTTATATCCTTATTGTTGATTTAATCAAAAAATGTTGTTAACAAAATTTGTTTAGAATTACTTCAGGAACAGTGTTTGTTAATACAATTTTTTGCTAACTTGAAATTTTAATTTCCCTCTGAATAGTATGCTATCAAAATTAATTATCTCAATAATTATTGTTTTTATCAAAAAATGTTTTAAATAAAATTTGTTTCAATTTCGATTTTGAATCAATTATCTTAATAAAAAATTTTTACATCTCTATTAATTAAGCATCTAAGTGTAATTATGTATAAAAACGGAAAAATTATTATTTTGAGGTTATCTCCTTAATTATTGATTAAATCAAAAAAAAATATTGACAAAGTTTGTTTAGAATTATTTCAGGAACAATTTTTGTTAACACAATTTCTTCCTAACTTGAAGTTTTAATTTCCCACTGAACAGTATGCTGTTGAGCACGAGTGGAGGGGGGAAATCGTATCGTTTTGTTACAAAAGTTCCGTGCCCTGCTAATTAGTAATAATAACTTTAGCAATAATACTAATTTTTTAGCTTTTTTAGCAAACAATATCCAAAAACCAGTCGCAAATCAATCAACATTGATACCAACTTTAAATCACCAAATAAAAAATAATTTAGATATTGAAATCGAAAAAGAGCCATTAAAAGAATTAAACATTTCTGAAAAGAATGTTGAAAAATTTCCCGAAAAACAACCTGATGATGACTTAAAAATTTTAATTTTTTACGCTGAAGAAAATGACGACGAAGACGTTGAAGATAAAACCCGTTCAATTCTCAGAAAGCTAACAAAAATGAATCTAACTAAAATCAAAGCGAATCGAATGGGTAAAAAAGGAGATAAACCTCGAGCTATAATCGTAACTTTAGATAAAGTTGATACATTAAATGATATCATGAAATCGCGATATACATTAAAAGAAACAGAATTTAAAGGTATAAAAATTATCAAGTTTAATAAAGATCATAAAAAAGCACCAAATACTGCGAAAAATGAGTTAGCAAAAAAAAATAAAGCTGCTGATGCAACTAATCCTTTATTATCAGACGAATCAGATTGCGAACAAGGTGAAGAGGTTAAAGAGAATGATGAAGATGAGAAAGATGAAGATTTACCATATAAAATAATTTTACATTATGTGCCAGAAAATGATAACGAATACGATCACGTCGTAGGGATTTTAAGAGTATTAACCAATCGGCCTTTAAGAAACGTAGGGTATCGAAGACTTGGATTAAAACCCAAAAATCACGTAAGACCGCTTGTCGTTTCATTCCAAAATGAGAAATATGTTAATGATTGTATAAAAAATCGATGTTTGTTGAAGGATAATGGATTTCCTAAGATTAGGGTTTGTTATTATCGAGATGATTTAGAATCACAAGTTGGCGGTTGAAGCTTATAATTTTTGTAATTTTGTGTAACAATTTTTTATTAATGATTTATATCGATAAAAAAAGCTGTTTATATAAATCATCGATTGCATTTTAATGTAATTTTTCTATTTTAATAAACACTTATTAAAAAAAAATCTTTGAGAAAACATTTGAAAAACAAGAAATACAATAGTTTGTGTCAATGAAATTAAAATCTCTAGATAATCTAGGGACTTTAAATGACATTAGCTATTAGCCCCATCTATGGAGTTTGCTGTGTATTTATATTAGGTCGGTAAAATAGTCGCTAGTTTTTATCAACTGTCAGATTTTAAAAAGGTTTTGTCAGTTACGTGTTCTTCAATTCGTAAGTTATCTTCAATTATTGACATGAAAATGAACAGTAATTTCCACTTATCTAATAAATAACTTTTAGGTTATGTGCCCCTCTTAGGAATGGAAAATGGACAGGAATCCGGAAAGCTAGATACACCAGCGTTAGATACACCAAAAAATTCTACAATAGAAGAAATAGATTAACCTACAATTTTGGGCCAATATTAGTATAAAATTAGAAGTTTGTCTTTTTATTTTATACAGAATTTAAGTCTAACTAGTTTCAAATAAATTTTTGACATATTTGTCAACTTCATAAAAAATCCTTTAAAATGAGTCCAAACTCGACATATTTACCTTTAATATTAATGGAAATAGGATCACTTCCGGTTTGAAACGTCAACGTCAATTTTGACATATTTGTCATCTTCATTAAAAAACCTTTAAAATGAGTCCAAACATGACGCACTTATCTCAAAAAACAAAAAAGTTAGAATAAAAAACATTAAACCCGAAGTTAGCAACAATGAAGATAGCAATTTAATTTTTAAATATTAATACCAACCTTAATTTTTGATTTTTTTTTATTATATTTTTGTTTTTGTGACAAATATTAAGACATTTTATAAAAATTAAGAATATGTCAAAATGACATTGACATTTCAAACCGGAAGTTGCTTATATCTCGAGTAATATTGGAATTAAACGTATCATGTTTGGACTCATTTTAAAGGATTTTTCACGACGATTACAAATATGTCAAAATTGACGTTGACATTCTTAACCGGAAGTTGACCATAACTTCATTAATATTGAAGATAAATATGTCGTGTTTGTACTCATTTTAAAGGATTTTTAATGAAGATTACAAATATGTCAAAATTGAGGTTGACATTTTAAACCTGAAGTTAGTTATCATATAATAGAAGTTTTATAATTGACGTTAATCTAGTGTTTAGTCGTGAAAAAAACTTTCAGTTGTCAATGTCAACTTTAATTTTATTATTATATTCGTAATCTTCATAAAATAACCTTTAAAGTGAGTCCAAACTTGACGCATTTATCTCAAAAAACCAAAAAGTTCGAACTTTCAACTTTTAATTTTGACATATTTGTCAACTTCATAAAAAATCCTTTAAAATGAGTCCAAACTCGACATATTTAACTTTAATATTAATGGAAATACAATCACTTCCGGTTTGAAACGTCAACGTCAATTTTGACATATTTGTCATCTTCATTAAAAAACCTTTAAAATGAGTCCAAACATGACGCACTTATCTCAAAAAACAAAAAAGTTAGAATAAAAAACATTAAACCCGAAGTTAGCAACAATTTAATTTTTAAATGTTAATACCAACCTTAATTTAATATTTTTTTTTTATTATATTTTTGTTTTTGTGACAAATATTAAGACATTTTATAAAAATTAAGAATATGTCAAAATGACATTGACATTTCAAACCGGAAGTTGCTTATATCTCGAGTAATATTGGAATTAAACGTATCATGTTTGGACTCATTTTAAAGGATTTTTCACGACGATTACAAATATGTCAAAATTGACGTTGACATTCTTAACCGGAAGTTGACCATAACTTCATTAATATTGATGATAAATATGTCGTGTTTGTACTCATTTTAAAGGATTTTTAATGAAAATTACAAATATGTCAAAATTGAGGTTGACATTTTAAACCTGAAGTTAGTTATTATATAATAGAAGTTTTATAATTGAAGTTAATCTAGTGTTAGTCACTATCTTTTTATTTATTTGGTCATTTATCATTGATTAAAAAAAATCATCAATTTTGAAGCCACATGATGATTCTTGAATTTTGAGATACAAAAATTCAATGAGATACAAAAATAGCAGGAGCCATGTGTAACCATGGCAACCAATTCTAGATTATTTCCTTCAAAAATTTTTACACAAATCGTCATCATTTTGTCTCTAGTTTTAGTGATTAAATTTATGTCACGACTTACAGAAACATCTTGTATGCCCACTGTGCTTGTGATAGTTGTCATCAGTTTGAGTTTTCAATATTTTGAGCGGTCCAAAAACAGGTAATTTCTTCTCAATTTATTTAATTAATTTTTTCTTTTTTAGATTAATAAAAAAGAAATCTTGATTCGTATCGGAAAACTAATTTTAGGTTAGGAAACTACTTTGGATTTTTTTAGGTTAGATTTTTTTATCAAATTCGACAGAGTTCTCGCCCTTACTAAATTGAACTGTGTTGGTTCAATTTTTTCCTCTTCTTATATACCCTTTTCCCCTTCTCCAAAAAATTTTCTTCCTTCTATTTTTAACCCTCGCTCCTGATTGGTTGATGGATTTCGCGCCATTTCTTCCCTTAAAATAATTTTAAATCTTTCTAAATGCCGAAAACGCCATCTAGCGGATTTCTTTAGAACTACTCAAAATTCCAAAATTTATTTTATTAATATCTTCTTTATTTCTTCACTAATCCGGATGAAACTTCGTATTTGATGCTTATATCCTTCTATTTCAGCTATCCATTGGAGGTTTCAACATTCTCCAACCACAAAAGAAGTTTGAAATTTACAAATTTAAAATCAAATTTTCAAAGTCAAAATCTTTCGGAATCTAATAAATTAGATGTAGCTAATACTAATCTTCCCGTTTTCGATGGTTTAGAATGAATATTAACAATTTTAAGAGAATTATGAGCAACTAAAAATTAACTGTCAATTGAATTGAGGTTATGTTTCTCTCTCAGGTAAAACCTATTTACTTAATGTTTAAATAAAATATTTATTACCACCTTTTAAGAGCTGCTTATAAGGAAAGAGTGAACTTTAAAGATTTTTTAAGGAAAAAAAGTGGGTGTAATATGTACATTTAACTTATTTCATTTCATTTTCGATTATATCCCAACGTTCGAAATAAATCACCAACTCGCAATGTTTCGTAAACGGAAACATATCGACGGCGACGGCTTTTATAGGAACGAAACACTCCTCTTGGAGAGTTTTCGATATTGGTCGTCCCAAATCAATGAAATTTTTCATCGCCGCGTGTGGATTGCAAGCGATGAACACGAGCTTTTTCAAATTACGGACCTTGCGTAGTTGGGTTACAGCTCGTTGATCTTTTAAAGAGAAATTCTTTATTAATTTATTCTTAATTTTTAATCCTAATTTTTTTTACTTACGTAATCCGGCTCTTGGAGGGTCAACAATTCCAATTACATCATCGTTAGTGGCTCGATAACAAACGGAAGCTAAAATATCCTCGGCTTTTCCCGTAAAAAATTCCACGTTTTCGATGTTGTTGAGTTTTGCGTTCTCTTTCGCATCTTCAACCGCTTCGGGGATTAATTCCAAACCAATTATTTGATTACAAATCTAACAAAATGAAAGGAATTGTATTTATTAAAAGGAAATTGGGAATGTTTGAAATTTACCTTTGAGAAACATAACCCGATTGTTCCTGTGCCACAACAAATATCAACAACGGTTGATTGTTGGGTTGGTTTTGCTAATTCTATGGCAGTTTTGTATAAAACTTCAGCAGCTGGAGTGTTTATTTGAAAGAAGGCTTTTGGTGATACCTTGAACGTTAAATCTAGTAGTGTTTCTTTAATGTGGGTTTCACCGTAAAGATGTTCTAATGGTAAATCTTCACCTGAAACTCTTAAAAAAAATTATACGTATTAAAAAACGTACAATCTACCAAATTATACGAGTTATTAATTATTTAAAGTTCAAATTAAGCGTTGAAGGACACTTTTAACATATTATTTTGCTAATTTCTTTGATTTTCTACTTTCTACACTTTTTAGGTTATACAGTTGCTTCGATTTATTTCCACGAGATGGCGTTCTCTGTAAAACGGTCTATGTTTACGTTTGTTATATTGATTTGATAATAATTATAAACGATTATATCCTTATAAAGTTGAAATTAAGTGTTTAAGGATAATTTTAACACACTATTTTGTTAGATTTTTATGTTGTTTAGATTGTTATCTGTCAAACAGTCTGTGTTTGAGTTTTATTGTGTTGATTTGAGGTTATAATCGTCGTTGATTTTATTTTATTATATTAATTTTAAACGATTATATCACTTTAAAGTTTAAATTAAGTGTTTAAACACATTATTTTGTTGTTTAAGTTATAAAGTTGCTTCGATTTATTTCCACGAGATGGCGCTATCTGTCAAAAAGTCTGTGTTTGAGTTTGTTGTGTTGATTTGAGGTTGTAATCGTCGTTGAATTCAGTTTATTATAATAACTCTAAACGATTATATCTCTTTAAAGTTGAAATTATTTCATTTGCACATTATTTCTTTTACAACATTTTTATGTTGTTTAAATCTATTTTCACGAGATGGCGCTATCCGTCAAACGAACTGTTGACGTTTGTTGTTTTTTTGAGGTTATATAATAATGTTAATTAAAATCTGAATTTTATTATAAATTCCTTAATTTCTTATTAATTTATATTTATTTATATAAATATATTTTTATAATAGATAACCTCAAAAAATATCAATTCTATATCAGTATACAGCGCCACCTTGTGGAAGTATTAAAAGTTTGTTTTGAAAAAACAATTTTAAAATGTATTCAAAGTATTATATGAAACATTTTTCGAAAAACACAAAAATACGTATCTTGAGATGCCGTACTATGCAGAGGGAAATAAAAAACATCTTATACTAGTAAACAGCGCCACCTAGCAAAAATTTTGAAAAATGTTTCAAACGAAAATTGTTTATGATTTGATTCTAAACAAATATTGTTTGAAAAATTTTTTTATACAACCTTTAATTAGTGAGATAACCTCAAAAAATGTCAATTCTATATCAGTATACAGCGCCACCTTGTGGAAATATTAAAAGTTTGTTTTGAAAAAACGATTTTAAAATGTATTCTAAGTAAGTATTATATGAAACATTTTTCGAAAAACACAAAAATACGTATCTTGAAATGCCGTACTATGCAGAGGGAAATAAAAAACATCTTATACTAGTAAACAGCGCCACATAGCAAGAATTTTGAAAAATGTTTCAAATGAAAATTATTTCTAATTAGATTCTAAATAAATATTATTTGAAAAAATTTTTTATATGACCTTTAATTATAAAGATAACCTCAAAAAATGTCAATTCTGTATCAGTATACAACACCACCTTGTGGAAGTATTAAAAGTTTGTTTTGAAAAAACGATTTTAAAATGTATTCTAAGTAAGTATTATATGAAACATTTTTCGAAAAACACAAAAATACGTATCTTGAAATGCCGTACTATGCAGAGGGAAATAAAAAACATCTTATACTAGTAAACAGCGCCACCTAGCAAGAATTTTGAAAAATGTTTCAAACGAAAATTATTTCTAATTTGATTTTAAACAAATATTATTTGAAAAAATTTCTCATACGACCTTTAATTAGTGAGATAACCTCAAAAAATGTCAATTCTATATCAGTATACAGCGCCACCTTGTGGAAATATTAAAAGTTTGTTTCGAAAAAACGATTTTAAAATGTATTCTAAGTAAGTATTATATGAAACATATTTCGAAAAACACAAAAATACGTATCTTGAAATGCCGTACTATGCAGAGGGAAATAAAAAACATCTTATACTAGTAAACAGCGTCACCTAGCAAGAATATTGAAAAATGCTTCAAACAAAAATTGTTTATGATTTAATTCTAAACAAATTTTGTTTGAAAAAATTTTCTATGCGACCTTTAATTAGCGAGATAACCTCAAAAAATGTCAATTCTATATCAGTATACAGCGCCACCTTGTGGAAATATTAAAAGTTTGATTTGAAAAAACGATTTTAAAATGTATTCTAAGTAAGTATTATATGAAACATTTTTCGAAAAACACAAAAATACGTATCTTGAAATGCCGTACTATGCAGAGGGAAATAAAAAACATCTTATACTAGTAAACAGCGCCACCTAGCAAAAATTTTGAAAAATGTTTCAAACAAAAATTGTTTATGATTTGATTCTAAACAAATATTGTTTGAAAAATTTTTTTATACAACCTTTAATTAGTGAGATAACCTCAAAAAATGTCAATTCTATATCAGTATACAGCGCCACCTTGTGGAAATATTAAAAGTTTGTTTTGAAAAAACGATTTTAAAATGTATTCTAAGTAAGTATTATATGAAACATTTTTCGAAAAACACAAAAATACGTATCTTGAAATGCCGTACTATGCAGAGGGAAATAAAAAACATCTTATACTAGTAAACAGCGCCACCTAGCAAAAATTTTGAAAAATGTTTCAAACAAAAATTGTTTATGATTTGATTCTAAACAAATATTGTTTGAAAAATTTTTTTATACAACCTTTAATTAGTGAGATAACCTCAAAAAATGTCAATTCTATATCAGTATACAGCGCCACCTTGTGGAAATATTAAAAGTTTGTTTTGAAAAAACGATTTTAAAATGTATTCTAAGTAAGTATTATATGAAACATTTTTCGAAAAACACAAAAATACGTATCTTGAAATGCCGTACTATGCAGAGGGAAATAAAAAAAATCTTATACTAGTAAACAGCGCCACCTAGCAAGAATTTTGAAAAATGTTTCAAACGAAAATTATTTCTAATTTGATTTTAAACAAATATTATTTGAAAAAATTTCTCATACGACCTTTAATTTGTGAGATAACCTCAAAAAATGTCAATTCTATATCAGTATACAACGCCACCTTGTGGAAATATTAAAAGTTTGTTTTGAAAAAACGATTTTAAAATGTATTCTAAGTAAGTATTATATGAAACATTTTTCGAAAAACACAAAAATACGTATCTTGAGATGCCGTACTATGCAGAGGGAAATAAAAAACATCTTATACTAGTAAACAGCGCCACCTAGCAAAAATTTTGAAAAATGTTTCAAACAAAAATTGTTTCTAATTTAATTCTAAACAAATATTATTTGAAAAAATTTTTGATACGACCAAAATTTATTATCCTAACTTCACATTATTTATTACCTGTCAAAACTGACAGTTGTTTATTTTGTTGATTTTTTTGTAATAATTTTTTTATAATTATTTTTATTATTTTTTTAGTATTATTTCGGGCTAAAAATGGATAAACTTTACGTTATTGAATCAGGTTACTTTCCAGCTTCTAAACAAACCTATAAGGGCGATTTAAATTTTGCAAATCAACGCAGCGGAGAAGGCGAACAAATTTGGCAGTGCAAATCGTTCGAACGATACCAGGGCGATTTCTTTCAAGATTCATTACACGGTTATGGCACTTACACTTGGTTACAAGAAAATAAAAACGATTTTTTGGTCGAAGGAACATTTCACGGAAGTTTTATTCACGGATATTCATCCATAGCGTATTCGAACGAATCGTATTTCGAGGGTTTAATTAGAAGAAATAAACGTTTTGGACCTGGCGTTTTATCTTATTTAAATGGAAATCAAGATGTGGGGTTGTGGAATGGAGATCGACTTTCTAGGATTTGTTACACCATTTTTCCTGAGTATTTACCAATTTTAGCTTATTCAGGTGAGGGTAAGAAGAAATTATTAAAGTTTAAAACGTTAATTACGCTTTGTGAGGAAGATTTTGAATCGAAAGATGTTGCAATAGAGATTTTAAAGAAATTAGGGGCCCCAAAAGATGTTTTAAGGTTATCTAACCAACTTTATAACCCTTTTGTGAGGAATATAAAGAGTTTGTTATTTGATAAGAAGCTTTATGATGCCCAAATTTATGATGGTTCTTTAAATAGGGGACAAACGGAGGAGAAATTATCTCAAGTTTTTGATTATTTACTCGAAAATGGGGGTGATTTGGAAAAAATTCCTGAGGGGAGTCGTTTAAGTTTTATGGAGTCGAAAATAATTGATGAAAACCCCGATTTGATTCAAAACGTTAGTTTCGATTTAATTAAAAACCTTCTTGATGCTTTCTTTGAAGAATTTAATCTTCTTTTAGCTCATCCAAGCGGGGAGCGGAATTTAATTTTGATTAAGCAAAATATTTTAAGAAAACTCCCCGAAAAATACAAAAACGACTCAATCCCGCCGTTATCAAGCAGAGTTTTAGCTTGGAATAACTCGCAAGAATCGATCGAAATGTTAAAGTACACATATCGTAACCTTAATTTAGAAAAAAATGTTTCATTTAACGTTCGAAGTTTATTAATCGGCGATCGATTAAAGTTTGGACCACCTGGAGATTACGAGATGTGTTGTATTCGCTTCCTTCAAGAAGCTTCAAATGGGAATGATCAATTAGCTGCGAGATTATTAACTGAAAAAAATGTTAATCCGGATGTTTCAGATTCAAAGGGAAACGTCGCTGCAATCTTTGCTTCAGCTAAAGATAAATGGGGAGTCCTGAAAATGTTGTGCAACTTTGGGGCCGACTTAGACAAAGTTAATGATGATGGATTATCAGCTCTATCAATGTGTATCTTAAGATACGTAGCGTATAAAAAAGATATAGTCGATTGGGAGAGAGCTTTTCTAAATGATACCACCAAAGAAAATGTTGAGAATGATAATAAGTGGAGATTTAAAGATTCTTCGGTTGATTTAAAAGCGATGTTGGATGAAAACGATGTTTTAGAGGTTCCTTGTGATGATGTGAAAGGATTTCAAGGCGAATACGAATTAATTGCGGATCAGAATCAAAGATATTTATTCTCAACGGAAATAAAACTACCCCCAGTTAAAAAAATTAAGTTCGACAAAAAAGTCTCTCACAAAAAAAGTAAATCAAGTAAATCAGCCAAAACGAATCAATCAAGAAAAAGTAGCCAATTAAAAATAAACACATTAAAGCGAAATAAATCAATAATAAAAAGCGAAACAAAAATACAAAAAGTTGATTCAAAGCAATTATTAAAAGAAGAAAACTTAAACACAATCTTAACGACGATTAAAACCCTTTTAGAACTCGGTTGTGACCCGAATTTTTGTCAAGTTCCACTCCCTTCGGTATTAATCGCCGTTTATAGTGATTGCCAAGAAATTGTTGATGTTTTGATTGAATATAACGCAGATTTAAACGTCTTTTCACCTACCGATGGATTAACACCACTTCACCTTTTGTGTTGTCTCCCATTTTCAACGTCCAACACTGAAATGTTTGAAACCATCTTAAAATCGGGGGCTAATCCGAATCAAAAAGCGTCCCCGAGTCATTGGCTAAAAGAAAAATTGAAATTATTAGGAAAAATTCGTCCTGACCCATCTATTATTGATAAAGGAAAAAATCCTTCTCATATTCTCTCGATGCGTTACGATTTCGAATGGGATTTAAATGACTATCAATTAAAAATGTTTCAATTTTTATTGGAATTTAAATTGGATTTGAATGAAGTGTATCTTGGGCATACCCCGTTTTCAATTGCTATTTTAAGGGGGAATGTAAAGCTTATAAAATGGTTTGTTGAATCGAATTTGATCGATCCTTATGGTGTTTTTGGGGAAAATATGGGTTCGGCTTTAACGATTTTAATTTTGAAAAGATATAATTTGATTCTTCCTTTGGAGGTGGCCCAAGAAGTTTATGATGTTTTAATTGGGTTCAATTTTAATCCTTTGGTATGAATTTGTATTATTTTTCATTTTTGTCAATGTCAATCGAAATGAACATAACCTCACAAAAATTTCAATATCAAAAGATTTTAAATAAATTTGTTTTTGGGTTTAATTGAAAAATTTTTCAATATAAAATCCTAAAACTTTAATCAAATTTATAGTTTGAGTGTTAGTTGTCCAATTGGAAATATCATTTCTAAGGTTTAAATGTCATATGTCAAATTGGAAATGCCATTTTCAAAGTAGAAATGTCATTTTCATACTATAAGTGTCATCTGTCAACTTAGAACTGTAGCATGTCAAACTAAAAACGTCACTTCTACTCTTTAAATAATATATGGTAAGTTGAAAATACCATTTTCAAAGTAGAAATGTCATTTTTATACTTTGAATGTCATCTGTCAAGTTAGAACTGTAGCAGATCAAACTAGAAATATCATTTTTATACTTTAAATATCATATGTTAAGCCAGAACTGCCGTATGACAAGCTAAAAATGTAATTTCTCAGGTTTAAATGTCATATGTCAAATTGGAAATGCCATTTTCAAAGTAGAAATGTCATTTTCATACTGTAAGTGTCATCTGTCAACTTAGAACTGTAGCATGTCAAACTAAAAATGTCATTTCTACTCTTTAAATAGTATATGGTAAGTTGAAAATGCCATTTTCAAAGTAGAAATGTCATTTTTATACTATAAATGTCATCTGTCAAGTCAGAACTTCTTTATGACAAGCTATAAATGTCATTTTTAAGGTTTAAATGTGATATGTGACATTGGGAATACCATTTTCAAAGTAGAAATGTCATTTTTATACTGTAATGTCTTCTGTCAAATCACAATTGTTGTATGTCAAGCTATAAATATCATTCCTAGGCTTTAAATGTCATGTGAAATTGGAAATTCCATTTTCAAAGTAGAAATGTCATTTTTATACTATAAATGTCATCTGTTAAGTCAGAACTTCTATGACAAGCTATAAATGTCATTTTTAAGGTTCAAATGTCATATGTCAAATTGGAAATTCCATTTTTAAAGTAGAAATGTCATTTTTATACTATAAATGTCATCTGTCAAGTCAGAACTGACGTATGACAAGCTGTAAATGTCATTTTTAAGGTTTAAATGTCATCTGTCAAATTAGAAATGAAATGATGAAGTAATAATTAATTACTAAATTAAATTAACAATTAGTTCAAGGTCAATTGAATGTCAATAGGAAAAAATAAACATAACGTCACAAAAATTTTAATAAGTATAAAAATGTATTTTGGAGTTATTCAATGACTCTTTGATAAACAAAATTAAGAGTTTTCGAGAAAATTGATTTTTTAAATCGTTATGTTATTAGAATTGTCAAAACGTTTCATAATTAGGGATTTATTGCTCTTTGGAATAAAAAACCCTAGTTGATGGAAATTAATAAATGAAGAAGTTATAATAATACATACTGCAGGAATCGATAGAGGATTTCTTATTATTTGGATATTTAAAACTGACCATGCTACATAAACAGTTAATCACTAAAATTTATTTAAAATTTTATTTTGTGAGGTTATGTTAATCTAGCTCCTCTGACATTGACATAAATTGTAAAATATATGCAACCCAAATAGCATAGTGGCATAAAAAGTTGCATTTAAAAATAAATTTAATTAAAAACATTTTCTTTGCAGGTAAATATTTTAAATAAAGGCAATGTTATTGAGTTTATGGAAGAAGAATATAAAGTTATAGGTGATGAGAAGAAAGAGATGAAGAAGAAAGGTAAAAAGGTAAAAGGGAAAGCTAAAAAATCGAAAAAAGGAAAAAAAAATCCTGTTGATGAATTAAAAAAATATCTTCTCCTCAAAACGAAAGAAATGTTACAAAGAAACATCGTAGCGAAAGCTTTCTTACATTTACGAATTTTTATTATATTAATTAAAAACGAAACGACCGATATAATGAAAACGTTAATACAATTTTTCAGTTTAAAAACGATTCAAAAATGCCTTCAGTTACTCATCCAACGAGGAATCATCGAATATAACAAATTAAATATCATGGTTATTTATAAATTTTTAAATTTACTGAACGATTTTTTAAAGAAAAAAGATAAACATATCTCAACTGGTGACATATTCTACGGACTTTATTGGAAAATAATAGAAAATCAAAAAAATTCTAATCTAATCGAACCGGAAATCGATACAAACGAAGAAATTTACAAAGTTTGTTTTTATTGTTGCAAAAAATCGAATAAAAAACTCATAATTTGCCCAATGTGCGGATTGGTTTACTTTTGTTCACAAGAATGTAACAAATTAAGTAACAAAAAATCAACGATTCATAACTGCAATTATCTATATTATGACAAAGAAAGATTTAAGATGAACGAATCCTCAAAGTTTGAAAACGCATACAAAGAATCGAACCAACTCCAAGAAGCCTTAAACAAAGCCTATGGAGATATTTATAACAATTTAATGGGTAAATTTGGATCACTTCGAATTTACAATCTATTAAAACTTTCGAAGTGTGACGATTTATCACGAATTGATTATCTTATAAAATCGTGTGGGTTTATTCGAAACTTTGTGGAAGAAAAACTTGAAATTGTTGCAAGTGATGAGAAAGAACTCATAGAGACGCTTGGAGACGCTTTAGAGGCTCAAAACATTTTAAAAGAGATTAGGAGGAAGAAAAAGTCCACATCTAAATTGAGTGTACGTAGCAGATCAAACGCTAGTTTAAAGAAAAGAATTAAGAAAAAGTCACAATCTAAATTGAGTATTCGAAGTAGATCAAACGTTAGTTTAAAGAAAAGTAAGAAAAAGTCACAATCTAAATTGAGTATTCGAAGTAAATCAAACGTTAGTTTAAAGAAAAGTAAGAAAAAGTCACAATCTAAATTGAGTGTACGAAGTAAATCAAACGTTAGTTTAAAGAAAAGTAAGAAAAAGTCACAATCTAAATTGAGTGTACGAAGTAAATCAAACGTTAGTTTAAAGAAAAGTAAGAAAAAGTCACAATCTAAATTGAGTGTACGAAGTAAATCAAACGTTAGTTTAAAGAAAACAAAATAATAAAAGTTAAAGAAGTAAATATTGTAGTTTAATTTTTATCTGATTTTGGTAATAAATTAAAAGTTTAACTAAAACTTTACTTCATTAATAACGATGTAACAAGACAAATTTAAAATAATTTGTTTATTAATAAAATTAATAAGAATTGAGGTGAAGTTGAACGCAAACGTCACTGTCAAAATTGATTGGATTGTCATTGTCGATTCAAATCACATTTATTACGATATTATTTAAGAAACGCTTAAATTTCTTGTAAATTTTAATACAACAAAAAGATTCTAATTATTTTTGATTAAAACTTAATTAACGTTAAAAAAAATTATTTTCACCAAAATGCTAATTAGGTTGCCTACCCTGCAAATAACGAAATGAAAAAAACTTAATAAATTATAAGTTTAATTAAAAATGTACTTCTCTATCTTTTTAATAAATATGTTTAACAAGACAAATTTTAGTTATGTTTATTAATAAAGTTAATAAGAATTGAGGTGAAATTGAACGTAAACGTCACTGTCAAAATTGATTGGATTGTCATTGTCGATTCAAATCACATTTATTACGATATTATTTAAGAAACGCTTAAATTTCTTGTAAATTTTAATACAACAAAAAGATTCTAATTATTTTTGATTAAAACTTAATTAACGTTAAAAAAAATTATTTTCACCAAAATGCTAATTAGGTTGCCTACCCTGCAAATAACGAAATGAAAAAAACTTAATAAATTATAAGTTTAATTAAAAATGTACTTCTCTATCTTTTTAATAAATATGTTTAACAAGACAAATTTTAGTTATGTTTATTAATAAAGTTAATAAGAATTGAGGTGAAATTGAACGTAAACGTCACTGTCAAAATTGATTGGATTGTCATTGTCGATTCAAATCACATTTATTACGATATTATTTAAGAAATGCTTAAATTTCTTGTAAATTTTAATACAACAAAAAGATTCTAATTATTTTTGATTAAAACTTAATTAACGTTAAAAAGAATTATTTTCACCAAAATGCTAATTAGGTTGCCTACACTGCAAATAACGAAATGAAAAAAAAATTAATAAATTAAAAGTTTAACTACAAATTTACTTCTCTATCTTTTTAATAAATATGTTTAACAAGACAAATTTTAATTATGTTTATTAATAAAGTTAATAAGAATTGAGGTGAAGTTGAACGAAAACGTCACTGTCAAAATTGTTTGGATTGTCATTGTCGATTCAAATCACATTTATTACGATATTATGTAAGAAACGCTTAAATTTCTTGTAAATTTTAATACAACAAAAAGATTCTAATTATTTTTGATTAAAACTTAATTAACGTTAAAAAAAATTATTTTCACCAAAATGCTAATTAGGTTGCCTACCCTGCAAATAACGAAATGAAAAAAACTTAATAAATTATAAGTTTAATTAAAAATGTACTTCTCTATCTTTTTAATAAATATGTTTAACAAGACAAATTTTAGTTATGTTTATTAATAAAGTTAATAAGAATTGAGGTGAAATTGAACGTAAACGTCACTGTCAAAATTGATTGGATTGTCATTGTCGATTCAAATCACATTTATTACGATATTATTTAAGAAACGCTTAAATTTCTTGTAAATTTTAATACAACAAAAAGATTCTAATTATTTTTGATTAAAACTTAATTAAAGTTAAAAAGAATTATTTTCACCGAAATGCTAATTAGGTTGCCTACACTGCAAATAACGAAATGAAAAAAGAAAATTAATAAATTAAAAGTTTAACTAAAAATTTACTTCTCTATCTTTTTAATAAATATGTGTAACAAGACAAATTTTAGTTATGTTTATTAATAAAGTTAATAAGAATTGAGGTGAAGTTGAACGTAAACGTCACTGTCAAAATTGACTGGATTGTCATTGTCGATTCAAATCACATTTATTACGATATTATGTAAGAAACGCTTAAATTTCTTGTAAATTTTAATACAACAAAAAGATTCTAATTATTTTTGATTAAAACTTAATTAAAGTTAAAGAGAATTAATTTCCCCAAAATGATAATTAGGTTGCCTACACTGCAAATAACGAAATGAAAAAAAACTTAATAAATTAAAAGTTTAACTAAAAATGTACTTCTCTATCTTTTTAATAAATATGTTTAACAAGACAAATTTTAATTATGTTTATTAATAAAGTTAATAAGAATTGAGGTGAAGTTGAACGTAAACGTCACTGTCAAAATTGACTGGATTGTCATTGTCGATTCAAATCA